GTCTGCTTTATGGCACTCGACGAGCTACCCTTGTATTTTCTCATGATTTTTAAAAATCACTAAAATAATATGGAAGGCAATTTAAAGCAACTGAAGTCCCGATTACAAAAAAAAAAAATATTCTTTTTAAATAAGTCCATACTTTCTGAGTTGTGGGTCTCTAAATTCCGCGGGACCCATTTACAATTCTGAAAGACAATATGGGTGTTTGTGGGTAGCCGGCCTTCAGTCGGAGATTTTAGTTTTCTCCTATGGACAGATGACAATACACGACCGAATCTGCTTCAATTTCAAAGGTGATTGTGTAATCAGGACCGATATTGTCGTAGTAAATTTTAAAATATATGAGAAAATACAAAGGTCCAAACGGAAGATTAGAGACACACATCGTCGGAAATACCGATTTCCGTAAGAAAAAATGTATACAGTTGTAATCTGGACCTCAAGAACTACATATGGCAAAATTTTCCAAACAATCCGCAAGGGGGCCCTAAACTAGACTTAAGCCCACAATTCATATTGAAATGATTTCAACCCCATATTACCATTTTGCTCTCCAATTTAAAGAGATAACGGGAACTACCCTTAACTTGGAAGTTGCACACTAGGCTGTTACCATAAGAATGAGTCACTAAATACAACTCAAACGTTGCAGGCATACCGCATGTGTGCGGTAAGCTCAAATTCCCATACTATTCCATTTCCTGCACGAATGAAACGCATATGTTTTCCATCTGTACAATACAGACCTCAGTTATGGACCAATGTCAATTGCATTTATAATGATCTAATCGCTAGAGATGCACAATTATGGCTCCATGATCATGAAATTTTGCACGAGAAAGGGGATATGCCCAAAGAATATGTATGACCGTTTTGAAGATGATCGGCCAATTTTAATGGACCAATATTTCGTGTGAATAATTATGAAAGATTTCATGGATAATACTAAAATATGTAATGGGCTCCACATATCCATTACCACACAAAAGTGTGTAATGGTAGAAAGAAAGCTAAAGTTTAGTGGTAGTTGTGCAGGTATCATATGGTCCGCTCCGCTCGCCTCTCATTGGTTAGATTTGTGTTAGAGCAGATTATAGACACTGCTCTTCAGTAAATTTAGTTCAACATGTTCACAACCAGTTAGGAATGGACCAAATCGAACAGGACACTAGGCTACAGAGTATTATGCATTTGTGAATGTGTATGCAGCTTACAGAAGGAAGCCAGGCAGGCAGTCGTCTGAGTAGTTTCGTTCCGGGACGAACTAGTTTAAATTAACTATGTCGCACAAGGAACGATATGTAGTTAATTTCTTCAATATTTGGATTTCTCGTTCCTTTTGGTCCAAATATTCATCTAAATATTTCGCTTCATTGATTGAATTAACTGACCTATACCAATGGACGAAAAGTCATAGATACTTGTGTGGATACACTTAGAATCACTCTATAATTCGATTTAGTAGTGGGTGTTCGTTCATCTTCCATGTATTTTTTTAAACAAAGCACAAAGGAAGAGCCATATGAAAATTGATTAAAATTGGTCCGGATTTAGATATAGCTACCATCAGTGTTGCCAAAACTTTGTTGAGGAAAAATGCTAGATTTTGTTGGGAAAAATGCTAGAAAGTCCTAAAAATTTTAAAAAAAGTGCTAAAAATTTATAGAACAAAAATTGTTATTATTTAATAATGTAATATTTATGAAAGACCCCATTGTCGATTTAGCCATGTCCGTCCGATTGAGGTCGCAATATTTAAGGCACAGCTTTGCACATACATTGCTACTACTTGTATGAGATTTGATATTCCAAATGGAATATTTCGGTCCTTTTGAGTACGCCACATGCCCCAATATTTGATTTTTAAGCTTTTGGACAAAATTTTCAACCTAAATTGCTGTAATTTTGTATCTTGGGTTCTCCCTGGATCGCAATTACAACAGCATTGGTTTTATTTGATAGTTTAATTTCTCGTTGAGTAAAAAATCTCCTTACCAAAAATTATTAATATTGGTCCATATTTAGGGGTGGCGCACAGAGAGCGGTGCTCCCCATTATTCCACATTTTGTGGACGTCGGGCACGCAACCGAATTGACTAACATTTTATATTTTTGTTTTAATGGGGTTTGAAATATTAATATTAATAATGGTTAGGGTAAATAACTGTAAGTTCACATTGCGTACCGTTCCATTTGCGTACTTTTAAGGGTTTATAATCTCTTTCCCAACAACAACTTTAATTTAAACCAGTGAGCGGAGCAGAAAGTCGGACGTGGTCAACTATACGATACCCTACACAACTACCAACGAACTGTAACATTCTGCGGATTTTTTTTCCGAGCCTGGGCAATATATCGAGATAGTTTCACCCTCTTGCCCGATGAGAGGGAACTGCACCTCTTCCTTACACTTATTTTCCGAATATTATTAATATTCAGTAAGTCTTTTTAATTACTTGTCCATACTCCCTTCACCGTGGGTTGTGTTGTGATGTTCGGCTTATAATTGTGGCCTATAGATCGACTCGTAAAAACACCAAAAAAAAAAAAGGTTTTGGTCCACTTCATCCCAAAATTGTTATCTCATCATCACCGGAATTTACAGGCGTTGTCCTCGGTCATAACTAGAACATCATGGAACATTTCAATGCGATCAGCGCTATATTTCCGCACTCCAGTGTGGTAATGGTATACTAAATAATATCTGAATACGTAAGCAAGTGTAAATATTTACGTGTAACTCCCACACCGAGTACATACGACAATATAATTGGTATCAATTTAAAAGCCAACTACTCCTCTTGGATATACTATCAATTTTTCCGGTCTATGTCCTTCAGGAGCAAACACATACGCTATAGAATACAAATTTTGTAATTTTTCACACAAAAGTCAGGGTCCATTTGACCCTCTAAATATTGACCGATCTTTATTAAAACAGGCATGCTTATTCTTTGGCCCAATCCCCTTCTCCATGTAGAATTTCGCGATGTTTGGGCCATAATTGCGACCTCTGGAGAGATCAGAAAAACGGACAAAAATTAAGTATTTGGTCCATTTCATCCCATAAATATTAACCGATCTTTCCCAAAAACAATAGGGGTCTTCATTGGGTAGAGGCCATCCTACATGCAAAATTTCATGAAGATTGGTCCATAACTGTGGCCTGTATCGTGTTTACAAATTATAATGGACAGACGGGCGGACACACATGTCTAAGTCGACTCAGCTAGTCGAGATATGACGATCGGTATGCTTGAAGGTGGGTCTAGGACCAATATTTCGCGACGTTACAAACTCTTGGGGCTGCACAAAGCTTTAATACCCGGACAACATAGTTGTTTAAGGTATAAAAATAGGTGTTTGCCGGAATTTTTCTATTTTGGTTCTTATTCTGGCATAATATCAATATAAAGGAGCATGCTCGCCTTTTCGGTACTCTAAAGTGGTTATAACTTGGCATTCGGGGTTCCCAGTGAATAAAAAACTTATTTTCAGAAAGTTCCAACATAATTCGTGTCCATAATTTTTACATCGCTCTCATTTTTCATTTTCCCAAATGAAAATGTCACAGTCACTACATGAAGTACCCGACCATTTTTTAAGAAATTTGGAATGCACGGCACATGCTAGATACCATTGGAAAATCGAATTCACCGCGAGAAAAATAAAGAAAATTCAATACGTCAATATTAAATGGAGAAACGGGAAAATATTTTGGATTGAAACCAAAATTGTAAAAGATTCCTAAAATATAAAAAAATGCTATAAAAAGTGCTAGGTGATAGACCACTTTTTTTGGTGCTAAAAGAGTTTAAAAAGTGCAAAATCTAGCACTAAAAGTTCTAAATTGGCAATACTGGCTACCATATATATTATTCTCCGATTTCATTTAAATGATGTATCATTAGGTCTACAATTGTCTGAACAAATTGAAACTCAGCACAGGCCATCGTATTTAGTACGAAACCATGTGTGTCAAACCATACTGAAAATGGTACGGATCGTTTATATGCGCGCTATGTCACAAACAAGGACCTATTTTAAACATTGACTGGAAATATGATTTGTACCTATAAAGAATCTGGAAAGTAAAAGTGGATGGTGAATTTGTCCGGCACCTTGAACCCACCTCAAAGTGGGTGAGAACTTTAGAACTATGACAAAACATGAACCTATATTGAAAATGTTTTTACTCACCAGGAATACGAAATGCGTTTAGGGCCATCAAATATTCAAAATGAATCGATATGTCCTTATTGTAATTCAAAATAACCTCGGAATAGTAACACCATATGTGCAAAATTTCAAAGTCGAGGAAACTCTTGAACAATGTTTGCATATCAATCTATATAGCCTATTTTTACCCATTTGGGATCCACAAACGCCAGATTTATATTCTTTTGGAGCACGATAAGGTTATATTACCTTCATATTCATGTTTTCCCATTGAGAGGACATAATTACGAATTAAACTGTTTTGATTGTGAGGTCAATAACATGTTTCTCGGGACAGTTAATTTAATACGAGCACTATTTTATATTTTCATTTCATATTTACTACTAGATTTTATATCTAAATCAGTTCTAGTCCATGGAAACATATGCCCTTACACTTTATTGACTTTAGTTTATATCATATCTGATTTACATCTAGCTACGAACCCTGTAATTAATACAATTTTATTGACTCATCAGCTTTTAATTAAGAGAAGTCTTTTTATATTTAATACGTTCGACCAATCATTAATTCGTTCCATCTACTCAAAATTTAGTTTCATTTATAAATCGAACAACTTAATTAATCTGTAATGCCACAACACAAATAAATACACACACGCACACACAAACTCACACTCACACAGCCACACAAACAGATAGTAAACCAATATCATAAATATTGTAATCCTTGTTATAAATGTATTGTCTCGTCAACAACTGCCATTAAATCGAAGAATATCTGAAGTAAGGGAAACATGTTTTTGATTTAATTTCAGTTATTTGCGGCGTTGGAGTCGATGTCTATGTTCATGGCTATCAGGCGGGACTATTGATATTGTAAGTATATAAAAACTTTAGTCTTTGTCTTTGTTATTTATCCATCGATTTAGCGGTAAGTAATTGAGAAAGTGGTATAAGTAAAGAATAAGAAGGATGTACAAATAAAGTAAGTGTTGAAAGTTTTATATACAAATGGGTAATTGATTGTGGGAGTGGATATAAATAGTTTGTACAGAGAATTGCTGGGCGGAGATTTAATTTTCGAAATATTCCGATTTTTCCATATTTTATATGGTGAAGCTCTAAATACCATCAAAATACCAATATTCGAGAAACTTTCATTAATACATAAAATCTATTATTTGAATACAAAATGTTCATCTAGATTGAATAATTTCTATCAGTGGTCCTCTTATATTGGAAAATTCAACCCATAAGACTGCGGCAAGGAGTATCTAAATAAATGTCCACAATATTCTGTTCCCACAATGTTGAAATCATGATAGGGATCGCAATATTTAAGATACAGCTTTGTAATTTTGCATATGTGCTACTACTGCTTCTAGGATGTTTGGGCAATGCCAAAACGTAGACCGATATACACCAACGGCCTACGTTTTGACATTGCCCCCATATAACAGTACATTCACATTTTTGCAATTTGGAATATTTTAGTCGAATTCTCACCTAAAAGGCTTAAAATTATTACTTTATGGTTGCTTGTGGATTTCAGCCACTGCGGAAAATGTATTGAAGGGATTTCCCTTCTGTCGTATAAGTTGTGACCTGTGTAGGTCATATTTTTTATACCCTTCACCACACTGTGGTACAGGGTATTATGTCTTTGTGCATATGTTTGTAACAGGCAAAAATAATCGAGATAGAGCCATGGTTCCTTTTGAGAATATACATAGAATCACTTTCAAAATCGATTTATGCATGTCCGTCCGTCTGTCTGTCCATGTTAAATTGTAAATCTGTTCGTCCGATTTAAGGTAAATGGGGCACCAAAGTCCCTCTATATCTTCCGATTTGCATGAAATTTGGCATAGAGTACTGAATTAGGTGCAGAACGATGTGTGCCAAGTTTCGAGAAAATCGATTCAGATTTAGATATAGCTCCCATATATAGGATCGTCCGATTTAAGGTAAATGGGGCACAAAAGTCCCTATATATCATTCAATTTGCACGAAATTTGGCATAGAGTACTGAATTAGGTGCAGAACGATGTGTGCCAAGTTTCGAGAAAATCGATTCAGATTTAGATATAGCTCCCATATATAAGATCGTCCGATTTAAGGTAAATGGTGCACCAAAGCCCCTATATATTATTCGATGTGCACGAAATTTGGCATAGAGTACTGAATTAGGGCCAGAATGATGTGTGCCAAGTTTCGAGAAAATCGGTTCAGATTTAGATATATAGTTTCGTCCGATTTATGGTAAATGGTGCACCATAGTCCCTATATATCATTTGCACGAAATTTGTCATAGCGTACTGAATTAAGGCTAGAATGATGTGTGTTAAGTTTCGTGAAAATCGGTTCAGATTGAGATATAGCTCCCATATATAGTTTCGTCCGATTTAAGGTAAATGGTGCACCAAAGTCCCTATATATCATTCGATTTGCACGAAATTTGGCATAGAGTACTGAATTAGGTCCAGAATGATGTGTGCTAAGTTTCCTGAAAATCGCTTCAGATTTAGATATAGCTCCCATATATAGTTTTTTTTCGATTCTATGTAAATGGTGCACCAAAGTTCCTATATACCTTTCGATTTGCATAAAATTTAGCATAGCGTACTGAATTAAGTCTAGAATGATGTGTGCTAAGTTTCGGAAAAATCGGTTCTGGTTTCGATATAGCTCCCACGTATACATATATATTCGTCCGATTTTAAATGGTGCACCAACCTTCTAATATTTGTCCGATTAACACGATTTTTTGCACAACGTTTTGTTGAAATTGATGTAGATGCTGTCATAGCTTCCATATGTATTTCGAATGGATGTCTGAATAGAATTAAAATTTTAACAGTGCGGCGACCGAATAGCGTGTATAGGTTTTGCTATAAGTCGTTTTTCATAAATTTGTCCCATGGTACGAAGTCGACTTTAAATCTGCCCGAATGAAATTAAATTTATCATAGGTTGCAGAAAGACTTGCGTATGTTCCTTGGAGGGGATACATATGTACAAGTGGTGAAAGGTATCATATAGTCGGCCCAGTCCGACTTTACTGCTTTCCTTACTGGTTTTAATATTCCTCCGATCAAAGAACTGTAATAGGTCAGCTGTGTCCATGTTCTTCGATATTAAATTTCAACGACATCAAATTGGAAAATGAACACGATAACACTCGAAATGTATGATTTGATCCAAATATTGCATATAATTTTCAAAACTAAAATCAGTTTCCATCTTGTACTTCTACTCAACATTATAAATATTTTGAACGAATATAAAAATTTATAATATTATTAGAACGAAGTGTCCGATTTGATCCAAGCTTAATAATTTTATCATACATACATTATGTTCGAGGATTACATCTATCGGTCTCCTGACGGGACCGTTCATCACTTTGGGTACATAATATGTACAGGTAGATAGAACAAACGTAACATCTTTAGAGGACCATTGAAATAGAATCGGGCAAAATTAAATGTGTGATCTACAAAGATATTCGAACTAATATAAACCTACCCATACACCTGACATTCTGAAATCTATGAAAAATTACATGTCAATCGGGCAGACTTGGATTATCTGGTGAACTATTTGTATGTAAATCTGGACCTAATCGAGCAAACGTGGCACACACAATTTGGTATGCTACAGCACAGGCTCCTTGGTGCATCATTTACATAAAATCACCAAAATATTACCATATATATTTTCATCAGATTTTATGATATTTTTAAATCTAGACCTATTTTTATACTTTTATACACATCACTCTAAACTCAATTTAATACCCTCTGTCAAATTTCGTGTAAATCGAACAACGTAGGCTCTTCGGTGCACCATTTACATAAAATCGGACGAAAATTTATATCAGACATATATTTAAATCTGAACCGATTTCAACAAACCTTAATATACATGATTTATTTCTCAATTGCATTCGCTATGTAAAATTTCGCCTCAATCGGACAAATCTTAACCGATTTCAACAAAACATCGCATACGTCTATCTGAACTAACTCTGTACACTAATTACTTAAAATCGGACGAAGGTATATGTGGGAGCTATATTTAAATCTGAACCGATTTCAACAAAACTTCAAAGACATCAAACTGGACTTAATTCAGTACACTGCGCAAAATTTTGTCACTGTCGGAGAAATATTGGGAGTTTCTTCTTTTTTTATTGGATAAAAGAAAAGTCCTTATTTTTGATGGCGGGCATGATAACTCCTCACTGGAACATCGGAATACGAAAATTAAAACGGCGTCAGAAAGGTTGGCTTGGCTCAAAAATCAACAAAAAAAATGCAACCCTTTAAAAAAATATAGTTAAAAAATAAGGAAGATCTTGACCGATTGGATTTATCCTTGACCGATTGGATTTATCCTCAAAAAGAAACATCCCAAATTTTGGAATCGATAGGATCATTAGTTTTTGGGTTATCGTGCCCGCCATTTGCAAAAACGCTTTTTGGAGAAAAATGCGTTTAAAATCGAGATAGCTGCCATGAAGAAAGAGTTCAACAAATTTGAATATGTAGATGGTTCTCCGAAACGGAAGAAGACTACTTCGGCTGTTGATCACGGTGATAATTTAATTACTTTAAATTCACCAGTTGTTTTATCGCAACGCAATAATAGCAAGAGTGCTCCTTCCGAAAACCATCTTGCGCCGCAGGCGCTATATTCACCTATACCACCCAGTGGCTTAACCACTGCTGACTCAAATGAACAAAACGGTCCAAGTATTTAGACTGAGACCTTATCTTCTGAAGCCAAATTGACTGATTCTTCTTCTTTATGTATACCTGCTATAGAAGTTATTCCATCTGTAAATCCGGTAACTTTATCAAATCATCCTGTCTCTGTGGACAATAGTGAACTTATCGTAGTTGCTCCTAGAAAAACTCTATTTATCTCTAGGCTACATTCTAATACATCGGTAGATAACATCCGAAATTATATTAAATCTAAAATACATGGCCTTCATGAAAAGGATTTTAAAATTTTTAAGTTTAAGTAATCAACTCCACGTGACATTTCCTCATTTAAACTTATTATTCCTCAAAAAATATTTAATGTTTTAGTCAACGAATCGTTTTGGCCTGATGGGATTTTGGTAAAAGAGTTTAAATTTAGGGAAAGATCCAACATCGCAAAACCATTGGTTATTTCCGATAAAGTATCCGGTTCAAAAAACTAAGTAATTCCTTACAAATAATTTATCAAAACGTAAGAGGCCTCAATACAAAACTAAAATATATTTACCTTAAATCTTTCGATTGCGATTATAAAATTGTTGTCTTCTCTGAAACATGGCTTAAACCTGAGATTGGTGATACTGAAATTTTTTCAAATGTATATCAAGTTTATAGGCATGATAGACTTAATAAAATCGGCGGTGGAGTGCTGATAGCTGTACATAATTCTATTGCCTCTGAGTGCATTTCAATAAATAATTTAGATATTGAATTTGTTTGTGTTCGATTAAATTATTTAGGTTAATCTTTTATCTTAACCTGTTCATATATAGCACCTAACTCTGAAACCGGCGTTTACCTTAGACATGCTGAATTAATTAAGCAATCTTAGACTTAGTATTTTCATCAACGATAAATGTATCTATATGTAGATGTTCCCCGTTTTCTGAACCTGAAGATAAGTATCACCCAACTCTTAATGTGAGTCTGGAATTCCAGCATAAATTAACTAATGTTGATCATGTTAAACAAAAAAGCTTAAACTAAATTTTAAGAAAGCCAACTTTGATATTTTGCATTCCATTTTATCCAACACAAATTGGGATTTTAAGGGTGATATGGACTCACGCATTTCTTCTTTCTACATAACTTTAAATGGAGCGTTATCATTATCCATTGACTTCTATCCTTATAGTGAACCATCGTGGTCATCTTCTTATCTGAAAAGTAGATTACAAACTAATCCAAAAGATTTTTTTTTAAATTCGTTAATACTAAACGTAATGTTCGGTCATTTCCCAGCTATATAAAATTTGGTAGTATGGGATCATCTAATAACTCTGATATTGCAAATATGTTTGCCAGGATGATGCCCTGAAATCACTAAAAACCTCTAATTCTGCTGGTCCAGATGGTGTCCCATCATGTATATTAAAGTCTTGTGCATATGAATTGTACTTACCACTAACAGATTTATTTAACTATTCCTTATCTCTTGGTTATTTTCCTCTTCACTTGGAGATCTAGCTATACATAAAACTGGTAGTCGGTGCACTATTGAAAATTATAGGGGCATCGCCAAATTGAGTGCGATTCCAAAGTTATTTGAACTTTTGGTTTCTCCAAGAATTTCCCACTTTGTCTCATCTATAGTATCTCCTTTCCAACATGGCTTTTTAAGAGGGAGGTCTACAGTGACTAACTTAATGGAGCTTATGTGTCACGCTCACAATGGGTTTATCAATAAACTACAAACTGATATAATATATACAGATTTCAGTAAAGCGTTCGATACTGTTGTACACATTTTATTAATTTATAAGCTTGCTATTATGGGTTTCCCGACAATCCTTCTTAACTGGATTTCCTCTTATTTACAAGATCGTACTCAAAAAGTACATTTCAATTCACTTCTCTCAGATGACATCAGTGTTTCATCTGGCGTCCCTCAGGGTAGCCACCCAGTTTCTTTTATTTGCTCTTAGGGGTCTACCTTGGAATCCACTTCAAGCACTTCCACCGTACGTTAACCGTCTGAAACTGATTGATCTTCCAACTCTTGAAAGAAGGCGATTAATGCTTAGAGCAATATTTATAACAAAATTGTTACGCGGACAAATTGACTCAAACTTTTTAACCGGTGAAATAAAATTTAATACTCCCTCCCGTAGAACACGTAATTATTTACCTCTTAACTTATCCCTAGTTAGACATAATTATGAACTAACTAATCCACTTCGCGCTTTATGTGAAATTTATAATAATTTATATAACAGAGTATCATTTTCTGACCCCATTCATGTAATAACAAATTCTATTATTCGTCTATAATTGAAGTATAGTTGCCAGACAATTGTGTATGTAATATTTCTGTTTGTATGTTTTGTCAAAACTATTGTGTTTTTGTTTATGTTTAACAACTAATATAAGACTGGCTGATGTTTATTCTGTAGCCAGTAATTTTCCTTCACTACTAACCCTCCATAGTCCGGACTATGGGGTGTACGTTCTCTCCACGTTATGGGGAGGTGGCCCCCTCGGTCGGCAGGGGCGGGAGTGAGTGGCGTGGGAACGTTCGAAAAAAAAAGTTTGAGAAGTCCTCTTATCGTCATTTGATGCTAGCACAATAAATCGGCTATATCTTCAAGTGTTGTTGAGATTTTCACTTGAAATTTCATAGGGACATTCTTGAATTAATGTAGATTCGATTTAAATCAAAATACAAAATTAAATTTTTTGAAACCGAGAATGGGGGTTCCCTTAAAATCGGATGAATATATATATATATATATATATATGGGAGCAATATCTAAATCTGAACCGATTTTCACGAATCTCAATAGGGTTCGTCTTGATCTGTTAGCAGAATAATTTGCGTCTCCTTGTATTTGTGATCTGATTGTCGTGGAAGTTGCCCAGTATACTATAAATTTTTGCGGTCTTCTCTGTTGTAAAGTCTGTGAACCTCTTCCCCTTTATTCCGAATAGACCCTGTTATCCAGTGTTTTTCGGACACAGATTGCCTTTCTCGAAGAGCACAAAATTCTTCGATAAACTTTAGATTAATTATTTTCGCTAAATACTGAGGGCATTGACAGGAATGTGTCTATGTTCTCAGTATTTAGGTTGTCATAGTTATGTAGCACTAACCTCTCTTTGATCACTCTCCCGAATTGCATTCCGAACAAATTGGTATTCACATAATCTAGAAAGGCCTGGAAACATTTTTTAGTATTAGTACTACCCCAATCAGTACTGTTTATTTTGCTTTTATCGTCGCTGAAGCTACGCTGTTTGTGGTGGTATCATCGTTTAAACAATTCCATTGCTTCGATATAGTTGAGTACGATGTTAACAACTCTGGGGGAAGAGAAAGTATACATGTGACATATTATAAGGTTCTCGGTCGATTTAGTAATTTCTAGGGTTTAATCCAAAGACCTTGTTATAACCTCTGCCTTATGCCTAATGAGGGTATATACACTTTTATACGGCAAAAGTATGTCTCATCGAATTATTGGTTTTAGCCTGCATGTTTCTTTGGACCAAATCCGTTTCAGACAATTTGAGGTCAATTTACAAATGTCCGTCCGTCTGGTCAGCTGTTGCGCACTGGTTTAACCAATTTCATTCAAATTTTACACATCATAATATTGCTTCCGAACTTCGTTCCAGTTCGAAGATGGTGAATAAAGGCCAACTCCTTCTTGTACCTACCCCACAAAATGGTCAAAATTTTGCGGAAGATTAATTTTATAATATCATGCGAACGGACTATACGATTTGAAGCAAACTTTACACAACATATATTATCCTTACCAAGCCTAGATTAACTCCAAAGATGGGACCCATTGGTTCACTCCTCACAAAAGTTAGAAATTTTACTAAAAATTTGTTTTATAGTATCATGCGTGCGAAATATCCGATTTGAACCAACTTTGTACAAGTTATTATCTGTAACAAGTATAAATCACGTCCGAAGATAAGATCCATTAATCCACTACTTCTGGTACCTGCCCCATAGACGTCAAAATTTTCAATATTATTTATTCTTGAACCGAACTTTGAACAACCTATTATCTTCATCAAATCTATCTTTACCTAGCCTAAATCAAGTCCGAAGGAGGAACTTGTAAATTTAATCCGAAACCTCGTTGATAAAAAATATATCTCTTATTAAGAGCGCATAAAAAACCTGTGTGTAATTTCGAAGTCTCCGCAAACCATAAGCTGAGGGTATACATCTTTCGGCGACACAGACTGAGACTTTTTGACTTGTTCTTAAAAGTAAATAGTTTCTGGATTAGTCAGATGTGTATATTACCTATATTTTATATTTCTATCAGAGCCACTGTTGTGGTGTCACTCCGATGGAGGTTTATTTGGATGATCTCAATCAATCTCCTCCGCTGTTTTTTTGTGGCTTCCTTCTATTCGATCCTTGCCTTTCCAATTAGGCGTTAGTACGCCTTACCACCAGGCCATTGATGACTTGTCCAAGACTGCCAAAAAGAAGAAAAATTTTATTTGTTCTCATCCCTGTGAGGTATCAGGTTTTACTCAAGATCGTAACTTAGCTACTATCGGATGACCGATGGCATTTCATACGTATTGCTTATTGAACTTATAAAAACAATGGCACAAATTACAGCTAGATAAAGTAAATTACTTTATACATATCAAGATTTTCAGCTGGATTTTCATCTAAAACAAACTTATACCACTTTTCAAATTAAGCAAAAATTATTTAATTAATAACCATGACATTTTATTTGTCAATTACAGACGATTGTGGTTTTTAATCGTCTACATCTTTAATTTACTTGATTTTATATTTAATACCATTTACATTCCCTTTACACCATATTGAGTCCCTCTCAATCGTTTCTTTTCTTTCTATATTTGCAGAATTTCATCAATAATTATTTTATTCTTTGAAATCAAATGGGTCATAACTCTTTTTCTTCAATTAATATTTGGCAAGTAAGCATAAAATGACTACAACAACAACAGTAGCAACAACAACTACAACTACATAAACAACAATTTCATAGTTGTCGTCGTTGTTCTTGTTGTTGTAATATCTATTTAACCTCCTGTCTTTGTGAACTTTTAACACAAAAACAAATTACAAACTAATATACCTTTTATCCTTTCTACAATTCCAATCCGGCCACCCCACCCACACCCTCGCCATTTAGCGATAACTACTCCAAGTGTTTGCGTTGCTGGGAGTTTAGCAAATACTTTGGCAGTTGGCGTCTATCCCTGCCGTACCTAACAATTGGCCTGACTCTTATGCTGTGGCCCCACAATTTATGGTTAAGCTATGTTGCCGGTGGTCTACTGATGTTCGTGGCAGTGCTGCGTCTGTGTCTAGTCTTCCGGTTCAGTCATGCGAGGTCGAAGGATGAGGGTCTATTGCCGCATTGTGATTTCGAAAAGTACGTACAAATAAATGTTCGCAGACGATTTACGCGAATCCGTGTAATAAATCTATTTAAAGTTGTTTACATTTTTTAATTCGAAGTTTTACATTTGTTTCGTTTTCCAGAGTTGACAGTGGCCCGGATATCGCTGAGGAGGGATTTGTTGAAATTGTACCCAGTCTGGATGAAGATGAGGCCTTGGATGATGTTTGTTAATATTTGGTGAAAATTTAAGAAAAAAAAACAAAATTATTTTTTGTTATAATGATTTGTAGTTGTATAAAATAGTGTATTAAGAGTAAATTGTACTTATATACATACATATAAAGACACATACATACATACAACAATACACATACATACATAAATATATATGAAATATTGTAGTTATATACAAAAGAAAATGCAGAAAAAAAAACAAAATTAAAACGTGAGAGAGCTTTTATATGTTAAAATAATATATTCTGAGGTTATCTAGTGATTGGAACATTTTGGGAAGCCTATTTGGAAAGGTAAGTACTAGGAATATGAAGATTCGGAAGTAAGTATCTATTGAATTCTTGATAATTGCATTGCCAATGTATTCATCTCGCTGCTTGATGTATTCATCGTTGGAAACCCCCAAAAAATAGGATGTTTGGTATTGTTAAAGGTGTATATCGGTTGACGTTTTGGTATAGCCCCCATATCACCGTAGCCCCAATATTGGGTATGTTGGGCACATTTTTCAACCGAAATTTTACATTGAAATTTTCGAAATGTTCTCATTGGGTAGCGAATCTGCCTCAACTATGAATATTGATCAAATTTTTATTGTAGCCTCTATAGAACGGTACTCTACATATAATGGCAAACCCCACTACTCAGTATGTTGAGCACTTTTTTTTACCGCTACACGTTATTTTCGGCATGCTCAATGAACCAATTCCAGTCTTAACGACAATGAATTATTGTATCGTGAATCTATGGGAGTACAGAAGATACTCCTAGGATGTTTTGTATTACAATTGAATATATCGGTCCACGTTTTGGTATTGCCTCAATATTTTAAAGGTTTTAGCCGAATTTGCAGAACTTTTTCCATATAGGTTCACGTTTTGGCCATTTCAGGAATTTTAATGGTCCTATGCATGTCGATTATAGATTCATGGAGTGTGAAAAAAATATTTTTATACCCATCACCACACTGTGGTACATGGTAGTATGTCTTTGACCATAGTTTGTAACAGGCATAAGGAAACGACATAGACACATGGTTCCATTGGAGAATATGCATAGGATGGCTTTCTGAGTCGATTTATGCATGTCGCATTTATGATCCGAATAGTATGACATTTGACACAGCTCATTTATTTGGCCCAAGGACCCAAACCCTATTGAAATTGGGAAAAAATATTTTCGTCCGATTTTTAGTAAATTTTGTACGAAAGGCCCAAAGTTATGCCGATTGCCGCAAACGCCCAACGTTCTGATGTTATTATTACCTAACTTGTGGAAAGTTTCTTTGAAATCGGTTCTGATTAGATATAGCTAACGTATATAGTGTTCTGTAAATATTGCAGCAAAGACCCAAAATTAGGCCGATTGCCTCAAAATTTTGCACAACGTACTGATGTTAGTATAGGCTAAAGTGTCAAGTTTTTTTTTAAATCGGTTCAGATTTAAATATAGCACCCATATATATTTTCATCCGATTTTAAGAGAATGATGCAACAAAGACCTAAATATGGTCGATTGGTACACAATTTTGAACACCTTTCTGAATTTAGTGTTGTCTAACGTGTGTCAAGTTTTGTTGGAATCGGTTCAGATTTGTATATAGCTCCCATATAGAGTTTCCGCCGATTTTAAGTAAATGGTGTACCAAATACCCAGATACCCAGATTAATGGTGTACCAAATACCCAGATAAATTGAGACTAGAATGTTGTTTTTGAAATCGGTTGAGATTGATAAATAGCATATGATGCATCAAAGAACCAAAATATGGCTTATCGGCTCAACACATTGGTACTGAAGCTATTATAAACTAAGCTGTGGTTAATTTTTTTTTTTAAATCGGGGTGGGGAAAAAGAAATACATTTTTTTCGATTAAACAATTTCAGACTTATGCTTGAAGTAAAAAAATTTTTGGTGTTCGTCGAAAATGTCGATAAAATCGGAGAAATGATTGAAGTTGACGGGCATGTTAGCAGTCGAAACATCGCCCAGGAGCTAAAAATCTAATTTAACTGTTACTCAAGAATGGATTTCTTTTCCCCAACCTAATATATATATATATTCCTCCGATTTTAAGTTAATGGTGCACCAAATACCCTAAATATGACAGATTGGCACAACATTTTGCAGAAAGTACAAAAATTAGTAAAACCCAGCCTGTGGCCACATTTGGACCGACTTCATGTTATTGTGTACCAAATAATCATCGGGTGTTAGATTGAGATTTTGTACCGTGTGCTGTGCTGCAGCATAGCGAATATCGTGTGTCAAGTTTGCTTAAAATAGATTTACATAATTTTGTCCCATTGCACACAAACAGGTCTAAATAGATTGTGCAAAGTTTGGTTAAAATCTGACATTCTATCCTTATATTGGTCTATAAATATTGAAAATTTTGTGGGGTAGGTACCAGAAGGAGTAGACTGGATCTAGGCTTGGTAATGAAATGTAGTTTGTACAAAGTTTGGTTCAAATCAATTTTAACCATTTTGTGGTAGTGGACCGATATTTTTTATCTTCGAACTTGAACTAAGTTTGGAAGAAATACTACGACGTGTCATGTTTGGATGAAATCGGTTTCTCCCCTCGAGAGTTAGCCGGCCAGATAGACGGATCGGACATTTGTAAATCGACTCCAAATTGTCTGAAATGGATTTGGTCCAAAGAAACACGGGAATGGCACATTTCTGTCGTATCAAAGTGTATATACATACCCTCCCTCATTAGCTTTAAGGCTTTGGGTATAAAAATAAAACTAAATTATATAGCATACTCTTAGGCAGTTATACTATAATTGGAAGATCGACAAAAATGTGTTACAAAGTTATCATAGATGTATTCATTTTCGATGTTATACGATATATATTCCTTATCGGCATAATATTGTATGTCCGTTAATGATTTCAGATAGATTGCCAACATTTTGCAAAGAATGACCTTTTGTATACAGAAAGGTCAAGTTCGAAGGTCAATACGTGACGAAAATATGTATGGGAGCTATATATGAATCAAAACTGATTTCAATAGGGTTCTTCCTTGGGCAAAATAAGTTACTTGGGCCAAATTTCATCTAAATTGGACCATAATGCGTCCTGTACTTTGTTCACAGGAATACATAGGCCGACGGACGGGCAGACGGACATGCCTAAATCATCTCAATGCTATGCATACTCTCAAAAAGAACCATGTGTCTATCACGTTACCTTTTGTCCGTTACAAACATATGCACAAAGACGCAATTCCCTGCACCACAGTGTGGTGAAGGGTTATACCCTTCACCATCTTAGTTCTGTTCCTGAACCAAAAGTAATCTACTAATTTTACAAGATTTGTAACTTTTTACTCGAAACCCGTTCCTGAACCCACAAAACTGGTAAAACATTAAACCAAATTTAAGAGAACAGAAAACAAAATGTCGCTCTCTTTGTAAACTTTCTACTCGAAAAATTTGTCCGAGTAAAAATGGTAAACGGGAATGCCTACTTCTGATTGGCTGTTGTGTTGATTTTGAAGTATTGCCTATTCTATTTTTGACATTTTTGACATGGGTGGCGTAGGGGATGATAGATACCAAGCAACGGCTCTGATTAGCTTTAACATGGCGAAGCCCAGGCTTATCTTGGTCCCTCTTTCATCTCAATTGTGGACACTGACCTCCCCGCGGTGCCACCTGGGGAGCTATTCTCATCACCCGATGAAATAGTGAGCTAATATGTGCCGCGAGTTCACCCATAAGAACTATAAAAAAATGGGTTGAGGCGTCGGGTTAGTTGCCCACTCTCGGAAAACCCAACCTACTATGAAAAAGCAAAGAAAAAGAAAACCAAACCCCCCTAATGTTGACAACCCCCGCAAACGTATAAAGGACCACGATCTGCGAATCTGCACTTGGAATGTGCGCACGCTATACAGAACAGGGGCAGTGTTCGCTTTGGCGGATATACTCAAGAAGTACAAAGCCGATATTATTGCCTTACAGGAAATGCGATGGAAAGGGACAGGCGTAAGTAAATCAGACGATTACGCCCTGTATTATAGCTGCCATGAAACGAGACATGAATTTGGCTGCGGATTTATGGTTAACAGGAGAATAAAAGACCTTGTCTCCAGATTCACTCCAGTAGATGAGCGAATTGCTATAATCCGTATAAAAGCGAAGTTCTTTTACATCAGTCTAATTTGCGCCCATGCTCCGACCGAAGATAAAGATGAACAGACCAAAGATATATTTTATGAGCGCCTAGAAACAGCATATGACCGTTGCCCTGGCCATGACATTAAAATTCTGCTAGGAGATTTTAATGCAAAAATCGGAAGGGAAAATATCTTTGGCCCCACCGTCGGAAAATTCAGCCTTCATGAAGAAACATCCGATAACGGCATGAGGTTGATTGACTTCGCGGCAGCAAAAAACATGGTAGTTAGCAGCACCAGATTCAAGCATCTCGATATACACAAGGCCACCTGGATTTCTCCTGATCAAGTAACGAGAAATCAAATTGATCATGTTGTGATAGACGGAAGGCATGCATCCAGTGTTTTAGACGTCCGATCGATCCGAGGAGCGAATATCGATTCGGACCATTACCTTGTGGCAGCCAAGGTACGCACCCGTCTAAATGTTGCAGCAAAGGTGCGATCTAATACAACACGGAAACTCGACGTCGAAAAGCTGCAAACACAACAGGTAGCCGAGGCCTACTCCGCTCAACTTACCCATCTGCTTGAAGAAAGCACTTCTTGTCCCGATAATAGTATAGAAGCACAATGGCAAAGAATTGCCCACTCCCTACAAACTGCAGCAAAAAGAACAATTGGGTACCAAAAACCACCACCAAGAAACCCATGGTACGATCAGGAGTGTCGTATTGCTACTGATGTGAAAAACGCAGCGTATAGGGCAACCCTGCAGACAGTAGCAACACGTAACGTGATGGAGAATTATCGGGAGAAAAGGAGAGAGGAGAAACGTGTTTTCAGAAAAAAGAAGAAAGAACAAGAAAAACGTGAGCGTGAGCAAATCGAGATGTACAGGAGTCAGAATGAAGTCCGGAAATTTTACCAACGAGTAAAACACCAAACCGAAGGCTTTGGTGCAGGCACATCCTCCTGTAGAGATGAAGAAGGAAACCTGGTGACAGATACAGACAGCGTGTTGAGGATCTGGAAGGAGCATTTCGAAAAGCTGCTAGTATCAAATAGTGGCGATGAAGAAGATACCCCAGAACCAATAGGAGATGATGGTATAGAGTGTATACCACCTAGCCAAGATGAGGTCATAAAAGCAATTAATCGGCTCAAGAACAACAAAGCAGCAGGAGCCGATGGGTTACCAGCCGAACTATTCAAGACTGGTGGCCAGATGCTGGTCAGGAGCATGCACCAGCTGATTAACACAATTTGGCTAGATGAATGCATGCCCAATGATTGGAACCTCAGCATCCTGTGTCCCGTGCACAAAAAAGGAGACAAGACGATATGTGCCAACTATAGAGGAATAAGTCTCCTTCCCATCGCATATAAAGTGCTATCCAGTGTGCTGTGTGAACGATTGAAGCCAATGGTCAATGACATCATCGGACCATACCAATGCGGCTTCAGACCTGGCAAATCGACCATAGACCAGATTTTCACTCTGCGCCAAATCCTGGAAAAGACCCACGAAAAACACATCGACACATATCACCTATTTGTCGACTATAAAGCCGCATTCGACAGCCCTATCCGTTCAGAGGTGTTTAAAGCCATGTCTGCGTTCGGCATTCCTGCAAAATTAATACGGCTATGCAGGATAACTTTAAGTGGCACAAGGTCAGCCGTTAAAGTAGGAAAGGACCTATCGGAGCCCTTCACTACCGAACGAGGATTCAGACAAGGTGACAGTTTGTCGTGTGATCTTTTTAACATCCTACTGGAAAAGGTCGTACGAAACGCAAAGGTGAACAGAAATGGCACTCTGTACACCAAACAACACCAGTTACTCGCCTACGCCGATGACATCGATATAATGGGTCGAACATTGCGAGCGGTAACAGCCACCTTTGAACAAATTGAAAAGGAGTCTGCCAAAGTGGGTCTGGCAGTAAACGGCGAGAAGACCAAGCTGATGGTATCAACGCGCAAGACGTCCAGTAGACTCGGACCAACTGTGGAACTTGAGAACTACAGCTTCGAGGTAGTTAAAGACTTTATATACCTTGGTACCGCCATAAATAAAACGAATGATATCAGTTTTGAAATTCGGAGAAGGATTGTGATGGCCAACAGATGCTACTATGGTCTAAGTAAGCAGTTTAGAAACAAGGCCACCCTCCGCCAAACCAAACTCACAATTTACAAGACGCTGATACTACCCGTGCTATTATATGGATCAGAAGCATGGGTACTTGCGCAAGCAGATGAGGCAGCGCTTGGGGTGTTTGAGAGAAAAATTCTCCGAAAGATCTACGGGCCGATCTGCGTCGACGGTGAATATCGGCGTCGAATGAACCACGAGCTCTACAATTTATACGCAGACATCGACATAGTCAGTCGTATTGAGCTGCAGCGACTACGGTGGCTAGGCCATGGTGTGCGGATGAATGAAGAAGCCCCAGCTCAAAAGGCATATAAAAATGAGCCTACGGATGGTTCCCGTAGAAGGGGAAGGCCACGAATTAGATGGAAAGACCAAGTAGAAAACAACATCTTGGAACGTGGTCTTCCAAATTGGTGGACTTGCGCACAAGACCGGCGCGCTTGGAAATCTTTTTTAAGCTCGGCTTATGGAACAACCGTTCTGTAACAAGCCAGCTAAGTAAGTAAGTAAGTATTTTTGACATTTTTACTAGATTTGCGTTTCCGAACTTTTTAATTTATTTTGTACTCTGAGAGGGATTTTGACATGTTTCCCTTTTACTACTAAAAAAATACTGGAACAGACCACGTATGGAATATTAATATTGTTTTATAGGTCCTCGTTTTGTGTAGTTTCCACAAATTATTCCTACTCCTATAAATATCAGTTCACTTTTATGTATAGACCCCAATTAAGGTACCTCATGACTTTCGGTATTGTAAAGATTTTGGACACGTTTTTCAATTTGTAATTTGTTTTAAGTAGGTTTTTTTCGGATTCGGACTCGGTACCAAATCTCCCTCAAATAAAAAAAAATGATATTGGTTTTCTATTCGGTAGTCTTCGGTATTCCCCAAATTTCAATTAACATTTAGTCATAACTCCAAACTTTCAGTATATTAAAGGGTACTTACTTACTTAGCTGGCTTGTTACAGAACGGTTGTTCCATAAGCCGAGCTTAAAATGATTTCCAAGCGCGTCGGTCTTGTGCGCAAATCTAGCAATTTGGAAGACCACGTTCCAATATGTTGTTTTCTACTTGGTCTTTCCATCTAATTCGTGGCCTTCCCCTTCTACGGGAACCATCAGTAGGCTCGTTTTTATATGCCTTTTGAGCTGAGGCATTCTCATTCATCCGCACAACATGGCCTAGCCACCGTAGTCGCTGCATCTCAATAAGACTGATTTGTCGATGTCCGCATATAAATTGTAAAGCTCGTGGTTCATTCGACGCCGATATTCACCGTCGACGCAGATCGGCCCGTAGATCTTTCGTAGAATTTTTCTTTCAAACATCCCAAGAGCTGCCTCATCCGCCTGCGTAAATACCCATGCTTTTGATCCATATAATAGCACTGGTAGTATCAGCGTCTTGTAAAGTGTGAGTATGGTCTGGCGGGAGATGGCCTTGTTTCTAAACTGCTTACTTAGACCATAGTAGCATCTGTTGGCCATCACAATCCTTCTCCGAATTTCAAAACTGATGTCATTCGTTTTATTTATGGCGGTACCAAGGTATATAAAGTCTTTAACTACCTCGAAGCTGTAGTTCTCAAGTTCCACAGTTGGTCCGAGACTACTGGACGTCTTGCGCGTTGGTAAGGTAAGGTTTGAAAAATATGTTATATCGGTCCAGCGTATTTCCAGAGGTTCCAAGTCATACTCAGAAAACTTGGGACATGGAAGATTTAGTCTTTTTTATGGAGGATGCAGTCATACTTCACAAATTCATTCGATGTATTATGGTTCCACGTGGTGCTGAAAACTTGATTATACCCTCCACCATAGTATGGATGGTATATTAATTTTGTCATTCCGTTTGTAACTCATCGAAATATTCATTTCCGACCCTATAAAGTATATATGTTCTTGATCAGTGTAAAATTCTAATACGATCTAGCCATGTCCGTCCGGCCGTCTGTCCGTGCGTCTGTTGTAATCACTCTATCTTCTGAAGGAATTGAGATAGGGTGCTGAAATTTTGCATAGGGTTATCTTTTGTCTTCAGGCAGGTCAAGTTCGAAGATGGGATGTATCGGTCCACGTTTAGGCATATCTCTCTTATAACGATACACCCCAATTTTTGGGGTTCCTATTGGATACTAAATGTCTCCACAAAAAATTATGAATATAGGTCCACTTTCTGGTAGCCCCCATTATAACGGTACCTCCTAATTTTCAGTACTTTGGGAGTTTTGATCGTATTTTTCCACCGAATTGGATGTAATTTAGTATTTTGAGTTCTTAATAGGTACCAAATCTCTCCACATAAAATTATGAATATAGTTCCATTTTTTCGGATAGCCCCCATATAGGGGTACCCCCAATTTTCGGTATTTTGGGGTTCTTGAGCGCGTTTTTCTACAGAATTCGCTGAAATTTGGTATTTTGTAGTCGTATATGGTAACAAATCTCTCTACCAAAAATTATTAATATTCGCCCCCTTTTGGCGTAATCCCCATATAACCCCCTTTTTATACCCTTCACCACGCTGTGATAAGGTAATGGTGTACCAAAATCCCTATATATCTTTCGATTTGCACAAATTTTGGCATAGCGTACTGAACTAAGTCTAGAAAAATCGGTTCAGATTTAGATATAGCTCCCATATATATTTTCGTCCGATTTTATGTAATTGGTGCATCAAAGTCCCTACATATCTTTCGATTTGCACGAAATTTGGCATAGCGTACTGAATTGAGTCTAGAATGGTGTGTGCTACACACACACCATGAAAATCGAAATGATGTATGTTAAGTTTCATGAAAATCGGTTCAGATTTAGATATAGCCCTACATATATATTTCATCCGATTTAATGTAAATGGTGCACCAAAGTGCGAATACATTTTTCGATTTGCACGAAATTTGGCATAGCGTACTGAATTGGGTCTAGAATAGTGTGTGTGCTAAGTTTCGTGAAGATCCGTTCAGATATAGATATAGCTTCCATATATATTTTTATCCGATTTTACATAAATGGCACGAAATTTAGGCAACGTATCAATTTGAGACGTGAATGAAGTTTTTGGGTTCTGTTGAAATTGGTGCTGATCCAGCCATAGCTTCCAAATGTATTTCAAACGGGTGTCTGATTGAAATTAAATTTTGAAATTAAACAGTGCGGCGTACCGAATAGCGTGTATCAATTTTGCTATAAATCGTTTTTCATTTTTCCCATTATCTAAATCTGCACGAATGAAATTAAATGTATCATAGTTTGCAGAAAGACATGAGTATGTGCCTTCGAGGGAACATTGACATACAATTGTATGGATACATATGTACATTATATCCAAAATGGTGAAGGGTATTATATAGTCGGTATTATATAGCCGTCCGACTTTACTACTTTCCTTACTGTTTTTAATTGTTTTTCTATTTTATTCCTCTGTAACAGAGTATGTTTTCTCATAGAAAAAGTTTACCTTAGAGAAAAAGTGCCTATCAAGTTTTCCTATATAAAAACGGTATTCTCAAAAAAAAGAAAAGAAAAGAAAAAAATGCGAATAAAATAAATAAAAGCTGAAAAACAATTGCCTCAGTATTTGAGAACTTTTATTCAATTTATTTTTTGTTTTTTTTTTATGGATCTTTAGGTTATGGGTAGAAACCAACGCAGTGTTTTATTATCCATATGAAATTATTTTTTTATTTTAACAAACTCACCCATTGTTTGATAACATATTTCCTGGGAACGTTTCCGATTTGCTGAATCATATGCCTCAAAACGGGACACAACTTTATAACGACCCTCGACATTTGTATTAAATTCATAAATCGTATTAATTGTAAACTTGGTTAAGTGATAGATGTGCTGTCGGAAAATAGAGCATAGAACAACAATAACAATAATAACAAATTAAATAAACAAAAATCATTTTCCTAAAAAGACTTACACCATAATTATTTAAACATTTACGCTCATCTTCAGGTATATGACGGGTCCAAACATCATACCAAACTGACACGGGATCAAATTGTCTTGCACAGAAATCAGACGTGTATGAGGAAAAGAGTGTTGGTTGCCAAGCACCTCGTTGAAATTTAAAAAATTCACCTCTGAACTGAAGAATAAAAACCACATCTAATTTATTTATACATCTTGATGAAACAACATACGTACGTACCATGATACGATCTGTGGGTTCAATACCTTCCCATTTACAGACGCCACTGCCTTCAATATCCACAAGACCATCATTAAGTTTGATACTTATATTTTTTATATCGAAGAGATCATGTATTCCGTTTGTGTTGGGTATATTAGGACATTTTTCGAAAATGTCATCACTGTCCACAAGGAATTCATAGCGTGCTGCTATCGCGATAAATGGCGACAATAAAATAAGAAGCAGCAATTGGAATGGTTTGACGACACTTCGAAACATTTTGGAAATTGGAAATTTTAAATCAAATTTGAAAATGTGTGTTTTATATACAGAAAAACTGATTCTGACAGTGTAATTACAGGTGTCATACATTATTTTAAAACACGCCAAATTAACAGATCGATCGATAAGAGGTGTAATAATTTTTTTCTATTTACAATCGTGTTTCAGTGATAACATTTTTTCAATTTAACTACTCAATCGTGCTGCTAATTTAAATGATGAGATGCGAATAAATTGGACAGTATCATCATATTTAGTTGGTATTCTCAAACATTCCGATTTCATCAAGGAATTTTTCAACTTTATTTCCTTGGCAATAAATTAAATTCTTGGTTGTAATTTGACGTAATATTACGTATATTCTTATTTATATTACAACAATTACTTAAGCTTTTTGGTTCATGTTTTGGAGTTGTCCACTTTTCCGTTCACTCCGTTCTCTAATTAGTATCTCGGAAAAATGCAATAGGAAATCAGATGCAAATCGGGGGCAGGTCAATTTTTATATTGTTAAATGTTTTTGCATAGCCTTTGTATACTCCCTACATAATAATCCCATCCATTAATTATAACATCGGAAGTCGAGACATTTTTGTCATAAGAAGTGACTGGTGCTCAATACTTACTTACTTAACTAGCTCGAGACAAAGCATTTGTTCCATAATCCAAGCTTAAACCAGTAAGGAATGTAGTAAAGTCGGACTGGGCCGACTATATGATACCCTTCACCACTTTGGGTATATTGTACATATGTATGTATCCTAACAATATCATGTCTATGTTCCCTCTTTCTCCAACTTATCCTAACTTTAATTTCATTCGAGCAGATTTAGAGCCGTCTGCGTAATATGGGGAAAATTTATGGAAAACTATTGATAGCAAAATTGATACACGCTATTCGGTACGCCGCGATGTTAAAAATATAATCTATATGTGGGAGCTATATCTAAATTTGAACCGAAAATTAACACACATCTTTCTAGACTTAATTCAGTATGCTATGCCAAATTTTGTGCAAATCGATGGATATATATAGGAACCTTTACATAAAATTGGACGAAAATATATAAAGGGACTCAAATCAGTACGCTATGCCAAATTTCGTGCAAATCGAAGGATACAAAGGGACTTTGGTGCCCAATTTACCGAAAATCGGACGAAAATATATGGGAGCTATATCTAAATCTGAACCGATTTCCACGAAATTTAACACACATCTTTTTAGACTTAATTCAGTACGCTGTGCCAACTTTCCTGCAAATCGAAGGATTTATAGGGACGTTGGTGCATCATTTACATAAAATCGGACGAACATATATATGGGAGCTATATCGAAATCTCGAGTGATTTTCCCGAAACTCACCACTCATCATCCTAGAGCCAATTTCCGAATCGATATTCACTCCTTGCCTTCCGTCTATCACAACATGATCAGTTAGATATCTCGTTGTTTGCTTGAATCTGGTGGTATTAACTACCATATCTAGCTGAATTTTAATGGCATGGGCAGGGCAGCGGTTTTATGCTGTTACAAAGCGCTTGTAAAATATGTCTATGGTCTACTCATTTTTGTCTTCCGTCGGTGCATGTGCGCAAATTATAATGATGTAGAATAACATCGCTTTTATACGGATTATAGCAATTCGATCATCTACTGGAGTGAATCTGGAATCTTTATACCCTTAACCACACTGTGGTATAGGGTATTATGTCTTTGTGCATATGTTTGTAACAGGCAAAAGGAATCGAGATAGACACATGGTTCCTTTTGAGAATATACATAGAATCACTTTCTAAGTCGATTTATGCATGTCCGTCCGTCCGTCCGTCTGTCTGTCAATGTTAAATTGTAAACAAAGTACAGGTCGCATTTATGATCCGAATTGGATGAAATTTGGTATAGGTCACTTATTTGGCCCAAGGACGAACCCTATTGAAATTGGGAAAAAATCGGTTCAGATTTAGATATAACTCCCCTATATATATTTATCCGATTTAATGTAAACGGTCCCTATATATCTTTCGATTTGCACGAAATTTGGTACAGCCTAATCATTTAGGTTTAGAATGATGTCTGCCAAGTTTCGTAAAAATCGGTCCAGATTTAGATATAGCTCCCATATATAGTTTCGTACGATTTCATGTAAATGGTGCCCCAAAGTACCTATATATCTTTCGATTTACATCAAATTTATCATAACGTACTGAATTAAGCCTAGAATGATGTCTGCCTTGTTTCGTGAAAATCGGTCCAGATTTAGATATAGCTCCCATATATAGTTTCGTACGATTTTATGTAAATTGTGCACCAAAGTCCCTATCTATCCTTCGATTTGCACGAAATTTGGCATAACGTACTGAATTGAGCCTAGAGAGATGTCTTCCAAGTTTCGAGAAAATCGGTCCAGATTTCTATATAGCTCCCATATATAGTATCGTCCGATTTATGTAAATGGTGCACCAAAGTCGCTATATATCTTTCGATTTGCACGAAATTTGGCATAACGTACTGAATTGAGCCTAGAGTGATGTCTGCCTTGTTTCGAGAAAATTGGTCCAGATTTCTATATAGCTCCCATATATAGTATCGTCCGATTTATGTAAATGGTGCACCAAAGTCGCTATATATCTTTCGATTTGCACGAAATTTGGCATAACGTACTGAATTGAGCCTAGAGTGGTGTCTGCCAAGTTTCGAGAAAATTGGTCGAGATTTCTATATAGCTCCCATATATAGTATCGTCCGATTTATGTAAATGGTGCACCAAAGTCGCTATATATCTTTCGATTTGCACGAAATTTGGCATAACGTACTGAATTGAGCCTAGAGTGATGTCTGCCTTGTTTCGTGAAAATCGGTTTAGATTTAGATATAGCTCCCTTTTATTATAGATTGATTTTATGTAATTGACGCACCAAGTAACCAATAGGCTGATAGGAAAATAACGTTCTGAAATTAGTATAACCTAACCTGCGACAAGTTTGTTTGAAATCGCTCAATATTTAGATAGAGCTTCCATATATATTTTCGCCCGATTTGAAGTAAATTGGGCGTCAAACTCCTCATGTTAGTCAGATTGACATCAAATTTTGCACAACGTACAATGATATGATATGATATGATATGATTATAGATAGATCTAGGTACATTCACATTTAGATAAATATCACATATTTTATTTCATCCAATTTCATGTTAATAGTCCTGATTAATATACCCTTCACCACGGGTATCATATAGTCGGCCCCGTCCGACTTTACTACTTTCCTTATTGGTTTTTTTCCTGTTAACCAAAAATCCGCAGCCAACTTCATGTTTTGTTTCATGGCAGCTATAATACAGAGCGTAATCATCTGATTTACTTACGCCTGTCCTTTCCCCAGCATTTCTAATAAGGCAAAAATATCGGCTCTGTACATCTTGAGTACATCCATATCGTAGAAAAACACTGCAGGATTTTCATTACAATAAAGTTGTAGTCACGCTGTAGTTCCATGTAACTTCATTTTAAATAATTGATAGTGTACCTTTGATGATATACAAAAGTTCCGCCTGGCCGAAATTAACTCTTTCACCTGTTCTCGATTCCATTGACTTTTTAAAATATTTCAATATTCTCACCTACATTGATTGCATCCCGCCATAAATGAAACACAAATAATTTAAAATATTTTATTATTTATTTTCTTTATTTATCGTAAATAATATTACAATTGCCACATTTTATTGTTAATAATGTAGTGAGGTATATTTTTGCTTGTTTGTTTCTCATAAAACGTATATAACTTTTAAACTGATATAACAGCGTTTAAATACATATATTTAAACCGCAGTAATTACTAAGGTTGTGTAAATGAGGTATTCATTTCATATTAACAACACTATCGCCCTCACAATAACCTCATACTTCTCATTTTACTTTACAGTGGGTGCAACTTACAATTTTCACTCATTGCCAGAGATATTAACAATTTTTTTTCTTTTTCTAATAATTAAATCATAAGTTCTGATTTGTAACAGTTTATCTTAGCAATTCGTTTTGAATCGATACATTTCATTCTTATCAATAAGCGTTTCATATTCTTTTCAGTTGTGTTTAGTTTCTAACATTCAATTTTAGTAACAAGTGTTTTTTCATTTTTTTTTTTTTTTGTTTTCTTAAAGCTAAGTATATTTTTTACTATTTTCATTTTTTTGCATTTTTGATATCCTATTAACAATTCGATCATTAACACTCAGTAGAGCGAAAAATATTTATAACAAATATGAATTTCAATGTTGCTTTAATGTTAATCTGTTTATCAGACTATATATGTATGCATGTATTTCAGTTTAAATGTTACTTTAAATATAATTTATGTGAAGATGATGTATATTTTTCATACTCATATAAAATAAAAAGATCATATAATTTTAAGTTATAATCTGTTCGAATATATTGTTTTTTCAAGTCAAAATGTCATAAAGTTTGCTTGTATCTTATCCAACATGAAGTTTGTCTTTAAGCTTTATATGGGGCCTATGAAAAAACATAGATCTACATGAAAATAAAAATATCTGTCAATTTGTATTTTATTCTCAGCAATTCTAAAATGCCGAGTTCCTTACCTTTATTTGGAAAATGTGACTAAAATATTCAAAATACCGAAATTAGCGAGGTAATGTCCAAAAATGGAACTAAATTGCAGTTAATTTTGATGGCACCAAAGGGATATATCAATCAGTAAGGAAAGTAGAAAGTCGGACGGGGCCGACATTATGATACCCTTTATCAACAATTGAACTAAATTAAATATGAGATTTGTATTTACATGTGAACCGACTTAATGTCTTCGGCAACCTCTACAAAATTCCATTTCATTAGGGCAGATTTTAGGGTTGTTTTTGTATGCTGGAAATTTGTTTCAACTGGAGACCAGATCATTTTTGGTGCGTAATTAACATTAAGTCAGTCGGAAATATGAAAAAAAACGCAAAATTCTAAGCTTAATTTAAT